GTCATGTGGGTATGAAACCACCAGAAAGATCAGAACTGTTCAAACTCTTTAGTATTTCAGAAATAAAATAGTAGCATTATAATGCTTGCCTACTTATTGAAATAGTCTAATTTTGATACAATATAATTTGTATATATTTATTAATGTGCAAATGCCTTATTAAATAATAAAATCAAGTATGGTCAACTGAGCATGTTTTAGGAAGCATGTTTTTATGTTACATATAGACAGAGGCAAGGTTGCATGTTAAAGTTTTTAAATAAAACATAATTATATCTTCTTTTTCCATGAGAGTGTCTCCTCCTGTGGTGCACCCTTTGTTTTTAGACTCTGTATTTTCTTTGCCACCTTCTCTATTTTAATAATATCTATGTGCTCTTTTCTTTCCTCATGAACTTCGTGAACTAATCCTCAAATCCACTGATTTTTACCATAGTCTGTTCTTTTAATGCCCATCTTCTACACTGGTCTCATTGAAACTTCAATGAGGTTTTATAAAAAACACGAGTTAAAGATCCTCCAGAGGGGTGGATATAAATCAAAATTATGTGAATGAACCCTATGGAGTCACTGCAACCACTGTAGTAATTTTGTAAGAGTGTTTAAAGTGTAGGATTTTGTGATGAGGGTAAAGATTCTGTTGGAAACAGATTTATTATACCATCACACCATCACTGAGGAGAGCGTGAATATGTGGAAGCTCTTGAGTGAATAAAAAGGGTTGGGAAGCAGGGGATGAGATATTCACCTTAGGGACACTATTATCATAGTAAATATTGTGTAAGCTTCCAAAGTACTCTCCAAACTTGAAAAATAGGTGAAGGACTGTTTTCAAAGTTTTTGGTAAAAATAAAATTTAGAACAAATTAGAAGCAAAGTGGGATTCTATTCTATCTGCTCTAACAGCTGTAGGGGTAACAAAACATTTTTTCCCATTGGCTTGTGAGCCCACTCACACGTATATATTTTAAAGATTACTACCTTCTTTGGATGAAATTTAGAATTTCTGCACTGGTCAAAAGGATGCTTCAGAAAAAAATATGTGACCTCAGCCTTTTTCTAAGCATGGCATTTTATACTCAGTGGTTAATAAAATAATTTTAAGAGGGATTTGGATTTATATGGAAAGTAGAAGAGAGGATTAAGTTTATTATTCAAAGAAAATATATATATTTCTATGCCAGCATAGGTATAATGTACAGCTTTTTAGATAATTAATGAACATTGGATGAGCATGTTTGGAAAAAAAATAAATCTGAAGGATTTGATCGGAAGGATCTGAACCCCTTTCTTGTTTTAAAAGACAGGAGAACTATAAAGTTGCATAGTTACTCATGCATGTCAGGCTTACATTTGCTCAGCTGGGGCAACCTGCCTTTGCTTAGCCACAGATGGATATAAAGAGGATGCTATTCATCTGAAACAATGATCCTTTTACTTATCATAGCTGCTGTGTGATGTACATGTCCTATTTAAATGAAATGATCTTCACAGTGTCATAAAATATTCATTAAAAATTTTCAGACAACTTGCAATTCAAAATGTTTCACAATATCTGCTATGGATTAAAAGGGTTTTGCTTGGTTTGATTTGGTTTTTTTAACCATTTCTTAACTGACATTGTTTTCACATATATATTTATTTATTCAAGTAGCAGTCTTACCAATTTATTCTATTTTCTCTTCCTGCTTTAAAGTCACATTTTGTGCTTTGTGTGCGACATAAATCAGAGCCAAGTGTCCCTAATTTATAGAACTGTAAAAGTTTGGGGTATTAACTAGCATAATTTGGATTTCCAAAAGTGAAAATGTCACAAAAGTATTCAACAACAATGAATTTGTTAGGTGTGAGTGTTAATTTATATGAAAAAAAAAAAAAAAAAGGCAATGGATGAGGAAAACCATGGGACCAAGGAGAATATTTTCAACACACAGCATGAAATACCAATACCATTTTTGTGTTAGCTTTCAAAATTAATTCACTCTGGAAAATGACTTTGGAGCTGATGTTAGTGGCAGTGAAGAAGCCAGCATATTCCAGCTGAGGCAGGTGTCCTGCTGGGGAGCCCAGATAGGGTTGGTTATAGGCAGGTCTAATTCCCCAGGCTCCAGCTGAGCTAGGTGGCTTCATGCCAGTGGTGACTGAAGGTCCTTTTCCTCTGGGAAGCACTCCACTAACTTTCAACCATCATTCAGAAATAATTTCTGCACGTCCAGCAGTCATGTCTGAAGAATACCTGGTAGAGCTCAACAAAACTGTTACACATCAGATGTTTGGAGATTTCTTTGTTCTTCGTCCTCCTGGTATAAGGAGTATGGCTTTTTGTAGCCACAAATCACTTATTCCTTTCCCTTAGCTGAAGTGACTGGCTATGCCTGCTCTGAAAATACTTTCTGCATTAATATGAAGTTTGGTATAGCAGAAAATGCAAATTCTTATCTTAAGGAGCACACAGAGGAGGATGGGTTGCAACTCCCACTACTTATACACCACTTTCCTTATCTTCCATTGTAATTCAGTGATTAGAAAGATCAGAGTACCTCAAATCCTTCTGCATCCTGTTCCTGGGAGACTAAATCCCCATGTGAGAGGTGACAAAGAGGCCAAAGAAGTTCCTTCCCCTGGTGATTAGGAGGAGCCTGTGACAAAGGGCTGTCAGGGAAGAAACTGCAGGACAAAATGTATAAAGAAAGGAGCTCTTAGTCATCATTTTGCCAAGAAGCTGAATATGAGGTGTTCTCACCTCACTACTTTGAGTGCTTCTCTTGACACTTTTCTCAAATTCTGCACCTCTCCAGATTCATTTTATATACAATCATAGAAACATAGAATCATTCAGATCGGAAAAGATCTCTATGATCAAGTTCCAGCCATTAACTCAGCACTGCAAAGGCCTCAACTAAACCTCATACTCACAATCTTTTGGAACACTTCCATTTTGCATGCCACAATAGAAAACTTGATATTTAATACTACATGATGCTTTCAAATTATTTCAGTCCTCCTGAATCCTGTGGATTTGATGAGGATATAAATGATGTATTGACTCATGGCTGTCTCAGGCGAGAGGAAAAACATTTACAATGAGTTCTGCCTGTCCTCTGAGAAATTTTTGGTTTCAATTATAACTACAGATTTTGTGATGCAGGCATAGCTCCAAAAGGAAACAGAATGAGATCAGATGCAGAATAGTTCGGGATGTTTTTTTAAAGAAAAAAAAAAAAATTGCTTGGCAAAAGAAAGTAGCAGGTAGTGAAGGAAATTGAATTAATTTGTGGTACAGGGCCTCAGAAAGCTGGAAATGTGTAGGCATAAACCATATGAACAGCTTCTCTGCTAGCTGCCTCATCTTGTAAGAGCAAACTAGGCAGATCACATCAGGCACTAATTTTTTCTTCATAAACCACTAACAGCAATCAGACGGAGGTGGCTAAAAATCTGTCACAATTACAAAAAAAATAGCTGTCTGTCCTGGAAATAAAACTGTCCAAACATGCATAGTGCTTTAAAGTAATGCATCTGAAAACACGTAGTACAGCTGACATGAGTGTGACTGTATGTAGATTTATTGCTCTATAATATATATGGACTGAATGAGTTTTCTCTTACACAGTTACCCTCTCTGGGTAGCTATGAATTTATAATGCTGCTTCTTAGCATTTATATTTGTCTACACTAAAGATGAAATAATTTATTAACATGCTAATAAATGTTTAATACTTCTTCTCTTTATTGTTTTATAAAACTATCTCCCTAGCCTCTGTTTTTTGAAAATATGAGAAGGACAGGCATTAAACTAAAACAATGCTGTTTGAAAAGTCGATGAATTTATATGAAGGTTTTTATAATGTCTCACATCTTGCTCATAACCTCTGTTGTGCATGTTGTTGAAAGTAGCTGAGAAGTTCAAGACAAAATCTCATGTTTGATTTCATGTGTTATGTAATTATGTTTCAGGTGGGCTACTTTTTAAACAAATATCTATATAGTAGCTGTAGATGAATTTTAATGCCAGAAAAATCATAAGTGGAAAGAAAATGGTTTAAAAATCAAGCAGTATTTTAAAAATTCTGTTTGCCCTTTTTCCCTCTTCCATTTAATTAGGATTCACATATTTAACTTTTGAAAGGCTTTTATTTAGAACTGTCATTGTTTGGGAGATACATTTATTTTTCAAATTATTTGAAATTCAAACTTATGAGGAAAAAAACAACAAAGAAAATGTAATTTCCCATGTTCTTCTAATTGCTGATGATGTTACTGTAGTCACTGAACACCCAAGTTTCCTTCCATGGTTTTGTAAGGCCAATGAACTTCAGATGTCACGTTGGACAGGATATGAAAGTTTATGTATTTCTGCATAAATTGGAATTTCACTTCCAGTTTGTTCCACCTGTTCCAAATGATATAATGAAGTTTTCCTGAAGTCTCATGTAACTTTTCTAAAATTTCTGAAAGCAGTTAATATTCAGTCATAAAACAGTCTCTTCAGAAGAAAGGATGTCTAGGTGGTTAAGAGAAGCTTTCATTCATTGCATCAAGTTTAATGAATTAGGTATCCCTAAATATCCCAGAAATCAAATTAGGCACTCCAGTCAGTGGCATTTTGTAGCACTGTGAAAACCTTTATGAATCAGTCTTGTAAATCATGTTTTATGCTTTTGTCATGGCAATTTTCATCTGTATGCAGTATCAGATTAACAGTATTTATCAATTATTAAAAACATGTAAGATTTTAATACAAGAGCTGATACAATTAAGTTTAAACATTAAGAAATTAAGGCAAGTAAAGAGTTTTAATTAATATTTTTCTTCATTTATTGGTTCTGAGTTATCAATGTAGAGCCAATGCATTGTTGCAGTAGACGCAAAACAAACTTTGTGCTCACAATCTGAGCTGATACTTGCATGAGTGAGTTATCCATGTGTTCTTCTGCCTGATTCTATTTAATGGTGGTAATACAATTATGTTTTCTTCCCTCTATCTTTTTCCTCTGCAGCAATGACCATGCAGTTCATTAGTCATCGGTTCCCTGACTACCATGACCCAACCATAGGTGAGTACAGGTTTTTCTGCCCTTCACCCCTTTCAGTTTCTCTGCCTGTGTGAGACTGTGAGGCAGTGAGAAGCTGCTTCTAAAAGGCAGAAGCAAGATTTGCAAACTTTAGATTATACCTTAATTTTGTGATGGCAATTGAGTTGTGTCATGGTCATAAAAGTCATAGGTACTTCCTCTGATGTTCCTCTGAACAGATGTTCTTTATAAAGAAATCTCTTTCAAAAACAGGGTGCTCCATTCATGCAAAGTAACAATTATTGTCCTGCATTTATAACTGCAGAATATGAAGCAGAATTACTAAAGAATGTGAAAACTCCAACCTGGACTGGGGCTCTTTTGTCTAGTTTTTTTTTTGAGTTCTATTATTTTAGTGTTATTTCCCAGTATTAAAGACTGAGCCGACCTTCCCTAGGAACATCAAATGACTTCTCAATTTAACACTTGCTCTGGGATTACACACTCTGCTTACTTCATTTGGTTTACTGACTTTATAAACTTTGGTAATCACAGAAATTTTCACATATCTACTTTACACTTTATTAAAATACACATTTTTATCTGAAATAAACTTTAAATGCTGAGTGACTGTCAGAACTGCATGTTTATTAATTTGTGTCTTTATTACTTTTATTAAAACTTGAATTTATACACATTATCCATGTGCAATATTTAATTATAACAAGAAAAAGATGGCAGAATCTAGTCTAGTAAGTGTAGAAGGCACTAAAACCAGTCACATTTCCAAAGATTACTTTGGGGGAAAAAAAAAAATCAATTCCTCTCAGCCAAAATTTTTTGTTTTCTTTGAAATTTTCAAATATTTCAAACTCACCTTTAACTTCTATAAAATTACTGTATTGCTATACAGAGCAGACAATGACAGTTTGTGTTTTTTTTTTTTCATTTATTATTTCTATTGTATTCCACACTTCCTGGATTTTAACTCTTTGTAAATGGTTGTAATTTTAATAAAGAAAAAATGTATAAACTCTTCATGCCACTAGTAATTTTGTAACTGTTAAAAAAGATTGCAAAACACCAATAGGATGCTATTAACAAAGCTATAACAAAGGCAAAACTACTGTGGAATTGCTGCAAATTCATATGCTGTTCTCAGAAAACAAAAAGAATTAAATCATTAAATCTAATTGGAAAAGAGGAACATTATTAGTTATCGACACCATTTAGTTATGTACATACATCCATCTTTATTATTAGCTTTCCACCTGCCATCAGTATTTATCCCTGTATTGTATCTTGTCATAATCTTAATTTATTGGTCTCTAGACACCACCACCATATGAATAATAGATAATCATAAAAAGAAGGGAAGCTTATGATGCATTCTAAGTACATACTGCAGGAATGCCTGGAGAATCTGATCAGGATGAAGGTCTCCTTGAGTGAGGAAGTGTTTCCACTGAGGAAAACTAACACCAAAAAAGAGGAGAGAGGGTAAAAGTGAGCAGGAATTATTGAATTCCATCTCACCCACACAGAACTGAAATTGGAAGTTTTTTCTCTTCAGCACTTCCATTTCTCAAAATATGATGAGGACATCCTGAAAAGGTCTTGTTACTATCTGGTCTCCAAAACATGTATGTTGTGGTTTTAAACCAGTAACTAAAAAAAATTACTTATTTCTTGCTGTGAGATATGGATTAGAGCACGAGCAAAACAGGCTTCAAACTTAAAAAGGAATAAAGAAAGTTTATTAACAAACTACAAGAATAAGAACACCAGAATAAACTTCCAGAAAACCCTTTTTATCCCCTACTACCCACCATTCCCTTGTTCACATGACAACAGAGACAAAAACTTTGGAACTTTGGTGTTTACAACAGTCCCAATTCTTGCTAGAGTATTTTCATCAGTCTTTGTAGAGAAACAGAAGTTTTCTTCTGTTAATCTATGGAGTTTTCCACAAGAAAGCTATTTCTTGCTATAGCTTTCTATTTTCTTGATGCCAGCTGCCCAGAAATCTGTCATCAGAGTTTACTCCTCCCATTTCACATCACTCTGAGGTGTGTATGGGCCATGAGTTTAGGGATGCCATTTTAAGGAGGAGTTATTCAAAGGCAAAAGTCTTCTTCATCTGTCTTTGTGAGCTCTACTGGAAAACAGTTTTCTCATTGCCCCCCAAGGCTTCAAATTTTTGCTTCATTCTGTTCCAGCACTTCACTGTATCACAATTACTCTACTTTTTTACTCAAAATCTACACTTTGAACACTCTATTCCTCCCTATATACTCTGTCATGAATTAAAGGAGTTTTTTCAAGACCTTATTGTTCATTTCCATAGCTTTAACAGAAAAGTATTTCAGCTCATAAAGCATCTCCTTATTCTCTACCTTTTCTGAAGCTCAATTATTTTCATTACTGTCTCTGATAGTTTATAAAGTCTCTTTACATGTTGATTACTCTCTTTTTCTCTCTCTGGATAAAAGGATTAATCTGCAAGTCTCATCTGGGTAATGAAAGGGTTAAAATCTTGCCCAGGCTTTGTAGATGGTTCTGTGATCTCTGCCGGAGCAGCGGCTGGAGCTGTCTGCGATGGAAGATTCTTCATGGCTGCTCTGGAGAGGGTGGTCGCTGTCTCAGCCCACCGCAGGCCCAGAGCTTTTTTTCCTTTCTTTACTCGGCAGTCTGTGGTGAATTCAGTCACAGCAAAAACTGCAGCTGAGCCAGGGACCGGCCTGGCCTGGCCAGAGCCCGGGGCAAGCCCCGCAGGCCCCATCTCCCGGCCGGGAGCCACTGGGCCCAGCCCAGCCCCTGCCTGGGCCTCATGGCCGGGCAGGGAACGGGAGGCCTGGAGCTCTGTTACCTTTCACAGCCAGGAAACAAAGAGAGCAAGAGAGCTCTGACTTTACATCTTAAGGAGGTGTTCACAGGTTGACTTAACTTTTTAATGGTCAAAACTGCTGTCAATTCTTAGAAATGACTGATAATTGGTCAGGAGGAAAGACTCCCATCAGCCACCAGCAGCTTCAACTTCCTTAGCTCCCAAAATCACCTTAAAGGTAAAGTCACCCCATGACAATGTATTAAACAGAAGAGCATAATCTTGGGCTAAGTATGTATGTTTCTTCTTGGTTAAATCTGTGGTATGACCCCTTAAAATTGAACATAAAATAAAGAAATAATAATAAAAAAAAAGTAGAAGGAACCTCTTGCTTTCACAACTGTAATAAAAACCACATATTTTTAAATGACAGCCCACCAAAAATGTTATACCATTGAGATTGTTTTTACTACTTTTATGCTACTGGTCTCAACTCACAAAATTAGTCTCATATTTAGTTACACATCCACAGGTAAGGATATTTTTACTATTTAGATCATCAGCCTAAAATGAATAAGGGGATCCAAAGTGAGCACTCTCAGGATCAAGACTATGGTGATGTCAGGAGAAACCAGAGAAAAGGTTATTCCTCAAAAGTCATGGGAACACAGACACAAATGTGTGATAAGAATGTTATCAGAGTTTTGTTTCTCACTTTAACCCAGCAGCAGATGATACAGAAATTAGAAAACAGGACACATATGAAACTACATTCAAACTGGCTGAATGACAAAGCAGAAAATTAAATACAGTTTTTCTTCTCTCTCTGAGATCCCTGATCTCTCTGGATATCAATTTATTGCCTTTCACTTCTGCCATACATTTCAGGCCACTTCCATTCCTCAGCAATTTTTATCTTGTTTATGGAACCTATGGGCTGTCCTGAAATTTTGTGGGCACACTGGCATCACTTTCTTTGTGTACTTCTTTATAAATAGCTAGCTCTGCATACCTGTGGTTTTATTTCTCTGCACATTTTTAAGCAACAGAGGTTTCTGTGGAGGTTGTGGAATGGGTGATATTGTCCAGAAAAAAAATCTATTGTATGTTTAAATGATAATCCACAGATTCTCAGTGTTAACCAAACTATTGAGACTACAGTTTTCCAGCTAAACATTAAGATAAAGTGGATTGTCTCATTTGCTTGACATGTACGTAAGAATCTAATAAATACCTACCTAATATTTTTTTCTGATGTTCTTGCACTACTTATTACATTTTCTTTGTTTTCCATGGTATGAAATTATGGTGGCAGTGACCATGATGCTTAACTGTGCAAAATTAGCCAATATTTAAAGAGGTGGTGCTGACAGAATTGGTGCTGTACCACCTTGCACTTGATGGGGCTTTTTCTAATTAATTCTACTTAAACAAATAGATGAGCAGGGGGTACTGAAATAGAGGTAAATGCTTGTAAACAGCATCATTGTCCCTGAAATCCCAGAAATCTGTCACTTTCAGTTTTAAGGGCAAATTGTTGATAACTTTGTCATTTTAAACTTTTCATTGTCCACTTTAAGTATTGCATGCCAATGGAAGTGGAATAATAATTTCATCTGTTTTTCATTTCTGCAGATTCCTGTGAAATATTTTGTAATCTAGGTAAAGATAGGGGACAATAAATTGTTCCCAAAATACATGAGCATAGCACTGATGTAATCTGGCAGATAACCTTGTTGGAAAACAGAGCCAAATCACATTCAGTCACAAAACACAAAAGCTCCACAAAACCATCTTGTATAGTCAATTAGGGACACATAAAAACCCTGAAACCAGGAATCTACTGTAGTTTTTTGTTTTGACTTAAAAGTAAATTGCTAGTAATTTGGTTTCATGTTTTATTTCATAAAATATCAAATTTTCAATACAAAGAATTGTTCTGAATTTCTTTTTTTTGTATAATGAACACATGTTCTGGCCTGCTTTTCTCTCTGTAGAAACAAACACATGGCAGCTGCCTTCTAAAGGTTCTTAGAAGGTTTTTCTTTTCCTCCTTATTTTCTTTGCATTTTATACTCCATCTATAAACTGATAAGACAATGAGCTTTAAGGGGAAATAAGTTGTTGTTTTGTTTTTTATTTTAAATCAAATACAACATGAGGCTATGGTGAAAATTGCTTAGTGATACCAACCAGAGAATGCAGAGTCCTTTTG